CTACACCCGATTCTGACATTTGAAGGGTATCATAAACCATACCTGCTTGGCCCTCCTGGGTGCTTCATCATTGGCTTTAGGACATTCACGATTTCTGGAAGGGGTTTTTTCAATGTCGGGATTTACGTTCCATGATACATATGTGTATATATATAATATATATATATATTATATGGTGATTGACTGGGATGTACGTTGGTTATACGCCATGAAATCTCCCGCTTGAAATAGGGCTGCCTGGCTACGTGCAGACACGTGCCAGGCCCCTTGGGGTTGGGATTCATGTAAACGCGATGACCTCAATCATCAATTTAGACTTGGATTTGCCAAATTCAATCTTCTATTGGGGAAAGCCCAATTTAATGGACGGTTTTTCAGTGATTACCCTACCAGGGCCAGAAGCTTTGTGGCTTCAGAGATCTTTTCTCTGGTTTTGTCCAACAATGGGGGATGTAAAACATGGGAGATTGAGGCTCTAAACCATGGAATTCTTGGATTTTCCAGACATGTTCAAACAGATCAATCTCATTGTCATAAGCAAGACCTTCATGGAACCTTTGATGTGGCTGTCATTGGCTATCCATTATGAAGACGCCCCGAGATTCAGCGGCAGGCTTGACAGCTGGTTGCTGTTGGTTGTATCTCCCATCCTAACCTTGGATGGGTCGGATCCATTCTATTCGCCGGATACATACACTGATTAACCAGCTACCAAAAAAGGCAGGGTATCTAAAATTAATCTCTGGTACTTAAACAAAGCTATGCAACCCCACCAGTTATAATAGCTAAAACAACTATAAATGGGATTAAATGGGCAATTTTCCATAGCTATGTGAGGAAAAATAACCTCAGGGTAGTCATGGCCACTGCCGCCGGGGCTTCGCCGCCCCGAGGAAGGTGTCCATCGTGCCGCGCAGCAGTGGAGCATTAGGCTTCGCGCAGTATCTGCCGCAGGAGATGAGTCTCTTCTCCAAGGAGGCCCGGATGGGTCATTTCAGCAAGATATCTCTGGTGGAAATCTCAAATAGCTGGTACCGGTAAACAAACACTTTGCGAACTGGAAAATCACCATGCGGATTGAATGGGTAAATCCACGAACTTTCGACTGGGCCATTTTCAATAATATGTTAAATTACCGGAGGGTAGATGGAGGATGGATGATGATGGTTCATCCCTCCACATGACCCGTAGGCTAGGCCATTTTTGTGTTGATTCTCCAAGGCTGTGCAAACGTCCAAAAATAAACATGAACAGTTGGATGTTCACTTGTTCACATGACCATCTTTGGGGTATAGTAACATAGTCGCTTTAGATCCATATCGGTTTTTAAGGTGTAGATGTCCTTTTGATCTTCTGATCCCATACAGATCCCATATGATCTATAATCTAAATCTATAAATCAGATCCCATAATATAATATATATATACTATATATATATTATATATATATATTATATATATATCTATAATCTATGTAAGTCGAGAAATCCCACAGAATTCCCACAGAAGTCCCAGATCAGAGTCCGAGGCCATCCTGGACAAAATCGCCGTGGCTCTGGGCGGCCGCGCTGCCGAGGAGCTCTTCGTGGAGAAAATCACCACCGGGGCCTCGGACGATTTGGACAAGGCGCACCGGGCCGGAAAACGATTTGACAATCCATCCCGAGATTTTCCAGGAAAACATGGGTCGCATTTACGCATTCTTGTTTTTTTTTTCCATCATCTTTATTGAAAACAATAAAGATACGTATACTGTATAGATATAGTGGGATGATGATGATTTGAGAGGACTTTCCATACTTTTGGGGGGTTTGAATCCAGCAAGAAATGGTGGACAAAGTTTTTAATTTCATCATTGAAAACACTAAAACACTGAGCTTCTAGGAAAACTGAAAGCAAGGCAGGGATTGAAGCGCAAGAAATGAGATGTCACCTGGATTTTGAAGCAAAACCACAGGTGGATTGAACAAGGAACCACGATTCGAAGACCGATATTCTGAGGGATGCGACTCGGATTTTATGGTGGATGTTGCTTACAAGCAGCCTGCGTTCCCCGACACCTCGAGGTCACCAAAATGGCCTACTCCATGGTGGCAGTCTATGGCATGAATTCCGAACTGGGCTTGGTGTCCTATGGCCAGAACAATTCCAGCCAGCAGTTCTACAAGCCCTACAGTGCCACGGTTGCGGTGATGGGGAGTTTTGGAGTGGTTAACCAACAGAGCTCATGAGGTCCAAATTTTGAGGTGAACCGCACGTTTTTTCTAAAACATGTTGATATATAGCCAGAATATGCCAGAATCCAGGATGGGTTCATACCCAGACATGATTGAATCTTGCGAGGGATCTAAGGTTCGCCATGGTATGCCATGGTATAGGCGGTTTACCACAACCTGGCGAACTTAAATCTGTGGTCCCCAGGTGCACTAAGCTTGGTGATGATTTCACCGTAGCCTTGGCTTTGTCTGAAAATGGGCGACCCGGTTACCCCCAAAAGCAATGATTCACATTGATTCACCATCAATTTCCCTATGAAACGATGTTATTTTGGTGGGCAATGTTCGGGTAGAACGGTATAACCCGTGTTCAGACCCCAAAAATGGGGCAAATTGATCCAACATGGCCATGAGCTGAAGAATTTCGCGAGGTGGGCTGAAAAGGATGGTTGAAATATGTTGAAATTGAATATATTCGGGAGATAGTTGAATATATTTGAATACTAAAGTAACCAAGAAATTTGGTGTTTCAATTTTTAATCACCCAGTCTTGATTTATGCCCTTCATGTTTTTGAAATCCTATCGGTAACCGAGGTGAAGAGACCGGAAGGAAGATTGATGAGCAAACCAAAGGCATTGTGGAGGAACAGTACAGTCCCTTGACTGAAGTTTGATGCTTTGACCGTCGCCGAGACGAGGGGGAAACGACAGAAAAATATCGAAAACACCGGGAAGATAGGAAATGAAGTTTCTACTTTGAGGTCCATGACGCACATGAACAACGAAATGATGGTTTCACCAACGCGAAGTATGCAAAAACATGGGAGAAGATCTCAGCTGTATAACTATATATTCGAAATTTAATGTAATTTATAATAACATGGGAAACTCAAACAAAACAGTGGGTCAACTTCCTTTTTTCGTGGATCGGTTGGATGATCATCAGGATCACATGGCTCGGATTTTGAGAGGATATAGGATATATAGGCACGGAATCGGTTGATCCAATAGGCATGCAACGATCCGATAATGTAAAGCATGGTATGTCTATGCTTCGGAGCAACGATCTCAGGTAGAGTCAAAGCACTGCTCGCGGAGCAGAAAGAAAAACTGGAGAACTTGGCTGAGAGACTGGCTGAGAAAGAGACCCTTGGATGAACCGGGTCTTCGACAGTCTGACCAAGGGCCAGAAGAAGAGTTCTAAATAGTTCTACGAAGAACATGATAATGACAATTGGTTTGTAATTTTCAACTGGAATGATTTGGATTTTCCATCACTCTAGGCATGTGGATCTGTTGTTCACGACTCTCGGTTTTCTTTTGTTGTATTGGGCGGTGCTGGCCTTTGTCTTTTTTTGATCCCATCTCAAATGGACTTTCACATTTCTATCAACGATTTGGTGGAGTCAGATATGAATGTTCAACTCATACTGTATACTTATTTGAGCAGTTGCGGTTGAATAATTCTTACTAGAAGTTTATACAGTTTACAGATGTTTACAATATACCATCTTGTTTTGTTGGGGATGACTGCCAGCATCAATTGCAGGGAAACTGATCATTTGATGATTTTGAGAGTTTTTTTGCCCTATCAAGAGGGCTGACAGATGCACTGCTGTTGTTGGATCAACATTACGGAACCCCACAGGAGGATTCTCGTCTAGAGAATGAACATAAAAATGTGGGCCCTTGGGTCTTGGGCACCCTAAGTTTTCACCATTCCCATGTGACGTTCTTTTTTTCTCTCCCAAATGAGTGTTTTTTCAAATGGACATGTCTGATATTCCAGATTGCTGTGTCAACTGGAAGAATGACGATAAAACCCATGGGGTTTGTTTTTCCCCTTTCCACCACTATAGTTTGCCTGATCAAGCATGAACAGTTTCACTTGGACCCGAAAAACCAACTCGTTTGTTTTGCGAACTGACTAAACTCCTGCAAAACTTCTGGTTTAATCGTCCACACATCCATCTAAATCATCATGTTTCCAGGTGAAATCAGAGGTTTCTTGATTAGAACTCAGTGAAATCGCCAGTTTTCCTGGTCAACATCAGTTGAATAAAATGTTGAATCACCAGTTTTCTTGTTTAGAATCAGTTAAACATAGGTCAACCACCATGTTTTTTTCGGTGAACATCCGCCAAATCACCCGTTTTAACGTCCTGAACTCCCGAGACCGGAGCCAGGACGTTGGTGTACCACGACCTGGTGGAAGTCCTGGGGGAGCGACCGCATCCCATCAAGGCGGAAGTCTCCAAATTCGTCACCGCAGGTGGGGAAAAAATGGGGGATGGGATCCAGAATCTAGAAGACATACAGTATCTATATCTATCTATCTATCTAGCTAGCTATCTATCTATATCTATCTATCTATATATATATATAGATAATATTATATATGTATACTAATGTATACTTATAAATTTGATGATGATGATGATGATGATGATGTTTCAAAAAGAAGACATTTCTTTGTGACCTGTGACTTTGACGTGTTTTTTGAAATTCTCAAGATTTACGCGATCAGGAAGTCTGTGGACCTGTCTCAAGACGAGGAACTGAACATACTGAATACTGAACTGGATGGATGCCGTACTCTCCGATTCTTATTTTTTGGGGCTCAGATGTGTGAGCTCCTATCCCAACAAAATCCAACTGTTAGCAGTGTATCAACAGACCACCAAGTGAATTATGCATCCAGTCCAGTAGAAGACTTGATCTATTTTCCATCAAATGCAGTCCCAGCCCGTGCGCCATTGATCGAAGTTGTAGGCTTCAGCGTTCAAAATCTTGGCATGTGCCCAGTACTGTTCGATGCATTATTATTCTTATCTATTTGTGTTTAGATATACAACTACAATCAACTACACAACTTTTGTTAGAACACTCTCCGTCCCTGACGGGGTCAAACATATTAAACCACCCTGATTAGGTCAGTTGTACTCTGAGATTCTTGGTTGAATATGTGTCCCTTCGCAGAATTTTCAGTGGTACAGCGCAACCAATTTTCTATGGCGAGCGAAAGCTGCGACCGAGATCACGCGTCAGGCACCAATCCCTTCTCAATGCCCAGTGAAGCTGCCTTCTCTGCCGAGACTGATGGATCTGATGAATCCGATCGCTCGACTTCCGGCTCGGGGCACTGACAGCCTCCGACAGTCCGACATCGATCTTTTCAAGGCTGGAAAATCACAGGGGAACCACTGTGAAACTCACTGCTTCAGATTTTGAAGGCAAAAAACAGTCCCGTTTCAAGTGGTTCCGCTGGTAGAGGTGAGTCCAGCCTTCTGAATTCCACCAAGATGAATTTGTTGATCTGTTTTGAACAGAAAATCTAGGCAAGATGAATTCTCATGAATTCTCTGGCTTTGTCGGAAAGGTACGCCCAAATCCAGTATTTTTGGTTTAGAACATCATATTCCCCCCATCAAAACAGCCAAATGGATCCAAATAGATCCTCCATGTTTGGAGACACCCAACTACATTTTGGTTAGAAGTTAGAACATATTGAAATATGATATATTATCCCCAATATCAACCCGACCTTTGTTGGAGATCATCCCCACTTCTTCGCTGTTCTTTTTGCCGCAGTGCTTGGTGGACTTCTGTCATAGCTCGGGTGGCGCTGAAGTCAGCGTAGCGGAGGAGGTTCTCGAGAACCCGTGAGTCCAAACTTGGGTTTCTATTGCCCTGTTTGGATCTATTCTTGGGGATGATCATCAATCCATAAATTCATAAATTGAAAATCGGAATTTCTATACTCATTGTCTTTGGATTCCCCATCAGATGGATGAAGACACCACATCACATATACCATATATATTTCTAACCAAGCCACATATTTGGTTCATTTTGCTTCCTTTCCGTTGGGGCGATCAGCCAAGATTCGGCGATGGACGCAACAGGACACACCACATATATGAATGGATGATATGTGTATATATATACTATATATAAATATAGATGTATGTACGCATACAATTTGCTTTGCACCTTTGAATGGTAGAATGTGGTCAACAATGAAATGTTTTACTTGTTGAAGCTGGCCGAACATAAAGCTTCTCACCCGTTTAACAGTGTGTGTGTGTGTGTCGCGTTGAATGGAGGTGTTATCCAAGGGTCCAAGGTGGTAAAAATGCCGAATGGGACAATGGGTGCCTTACAACATGAACAATCAGCCAAAGTTTCTGGCCTCAGCAACTTTCGGCTGAATTCTTGCTGACCAGGAAAGCAGTAGGATTGATGTTCCAGTCCGGATAGAATCATCAACACCAGTGATATCAATCAGGAATAGGGAAATTGAAACTGCCCAAGCTAGGATACAATCCAGAAGTGATATGCAAGATTGGTGTTACATTTACAGCCATCATGGAGTACTCATGGCCCCATTTTGGACCCACGAAACCAACAATGTTGAAGTCCTCAAAGAGCAGGTTCTTCCTCCATCGCCTCCTGGAAAGTGGACAGTTCAACTCCCAGCTGTTGAACGCTCAGTTCGACACCGCAAAATTCGTGGACGTCAGAAGTACATGTCATGAAATTGCGGACGCAAAACATTGGTGAATCTCTGGATGGTGTGCGAAGAGAGAGAGAGAGAGAGAGAGAGATAGAGAGAGAGAGAGAGAGGGAGGGAGAGAGAGAGAGAGAGAGAGGGAGAGAGAGAGAGAGAGAGGGAGAGGGATGGTCATGGGATGTCAGGGGCTGGGGCACGTTCAGAACTATAGCACCTACCCCAATCATACAAAGCACCCCATTGTTGCTCGTAGACTTGAATGCACACAATGGTTGGCTTCCTCTGCAGTCTTGCTTATGATGGGGAATTGGTCCTTGAATTCCGTGGTGCAACACTGCAAGTCCTCCAAGATAATCGTCACCTCATATGGAACCCGCAATGTAACAAGATCATGCAAGATCCATCAGCATATGAGTCAGATTGAATCACAGTTTGTGGCCAAGTGTTTATTAGGACTTAGGATGCAGGGATGACATCCATATTGATATTTGATCCATATTGTGTTTTCCATGTATTTTTTTGATGTTTTTTGCAAGTTTTCAGTGATTTGGTGTTTAACCATATCATATATATATATATATTATACATATTAAAACCCAAATTTGTGTGGGTTATGTCTTGGTTGCTTACACCTCGTAATGTGTAAGCCCAATTTTAATTTGTTATATGGCCATATATGGCCCAGTATGGTCATACCCGTATTGGTAGATCTTTGCTAAGCCACCTCCGAAGGCGCCGCAGCCGGAGTGCGGAACGGCCACAGTACGCAGCTTCGCAGGCGGCACAGGGAGCAGAAACGATGCTGAAGTCTGCCATCGCTACGAAGCTTAAATGGGGGTATTGTTGCAAATCATGGGAAACTTTCGCCAGCAAAAGGGGGCATGACGACGGTATCCTGTTGGCTACCATGGACTTGGATGTAGATGTTGGCAAATAGACAGGGGTTCCTGGCTGGGCTGTGCGGCGGGCAATTGTGGAAAATTGGGGCACTGGCAAACCTGAATAATTCAACAAGGAACCAAACATCGCTGTTTCCCCAGGGAAAAATTATCTTCCACACGTCTTGTGTTTTGGGGCTTGATCTGAAAAGTCAGAGGGGTAAGATGGGGTAAGAATGAGTTTACGTGATCCTATCTCTGCAAGAAGAGTGACAAGTCCCAGCTGCCATGTCCCCGACAAGCAGTTTCCTGGGTATCTCCACATCTTTCTTGATTGTATAATATTGTATATAAATCCACATTTCAGATCAATTTTCTTGGGTTAAATCCCGGTTTTGATTATCTTCCTAAGTTCACTGGAAATTTCATTATCGTTGATTTATAAACCCATTCCAAGTGATTGCCGATTTCAACCTGCGATTAAAAAAAACCTGGTTGATGAATTGGGAAACTAAGCACTGAAATTCGGGTTGACAGTAAGCTTGATTTTTTTCTACATCCTGGCTTAACCCATCTTAAGCATCTGGGAGATTCACCACTAAAACAATCTAAAACACAGGGTTGACATTCCAACTTCGGTTGGTGCTTTTGTTCATATTATTAATGTTTTTTGATGTTCGCTCCCAAGTTAAATTAAATGATTTTCTCTTCGAATGAATTTCATGTTGTTGGGATCGTTTGCAACTACCATATGCAATGTTATCTCCACTTTGGTTCCTTTGGTTGGATAAGCCCCAATAAGCCACGAAGATAAACCAGGATAAGCCCCCCATGAATCATAGTTTGCCAATAGTTTGAAACCACCAACCACTTTTTTTAAGAGTTCTACTGCATTTTTATCAGGTGGGCTCCACGGTTCAACAGAGCCTGGGCCCCTTCGACTCGGCTCTGGGCTCTCTGGGCTACGCGGCGGTCTGGCCGCCTCCACCCTTGCCGCCTGTGTCGGAGGTCGACCCAGCATGGATCGATGAGTTTCCATGGCTTCCCAGCTATAAACCTCCATGTACTGGTGGGTAAAACAATGATTTTTTTTACGACAAAAATATGATTGGGAATGGTAATCATACCACCCATAAAAATGGTGATGATTGGGGGATGGCTTATTATTGTTTTACCTACATTATAGGGCATTTTTCTACTGCCGTGTTTGATGACCGGTTTTTTTTGTGGTTATCAACCAGTAGTCAATGACTATAACTTACCGGTGAGGTTGGCAGCTTGAAAACCACTCAATGAAGGGAGGAATCTGAAGAGGCTCCAAGCCACGAACCAATGGGAAGAGGAATCATCTTCCACCGTCTTCTACAGCAGAATTTCTATGTCTTCCAAATGTTCTAATCATCTTCCACCATATCACCATCAACATCATGTGGCGGCCATGTTTTCCCAAACTTTTCCAGCGATTTTCTTCCAACCGTTGGCACCGCTGAGAGGACCTGCGACAACGCTTGGAGCATTTGGAGGTACCAAGAAAACCCCCATACCGGCCGTACGGATGCGACGCCGAGCTCCCGAGCTCAGCCAATGGTTTACCAGGGAAAGGTGGGCTTGAACCAACAAATACCAACAATAACTGGTGATCTTGTGTAAGTTTATTGTTGGTATTTGTTGGTACACAATATACAATAACTGGTGACCTGATTTATATGAGTATGAATAGTATTAAGTTTTCTTTTTGGTGTATTAATCAGACATTGATTTGATCTCTGACGGAGGCATATCTTTTGGGTCCCATTTTTGGCCAAGGTTTCTGGATGAATTTTACGATCCTTCGGAATCCTTCGGATTTGAGTGGGCTGTGCAGCAATGGGTGGAAATTGATGCCATTTGATGCCATTTGATGCCCGTGAAGCCCAATGTTTTGGAGGGTTTTTTGAGGATTCACTGTTATCACTTAATCATCACTTAATCCAAGAAGTTCTTCAGCTAAGACGTTTCCATTTAAGATGCCGCGTTTGCTACTGCTGCCGTCCCCTTTCGGCTGAAGCCAAGAACATATACTAATTATATAATTATTAGTTGTCTATGACGTCAACTATGCAGAAGTACGAATCACTAGAGGTCAAAACTACAGCTTCGCAGCTTCGCTATCAAAACCCAGAGATATCGCTGCAGGTCGCACCCACTTTCACCGCAGATGTTTCACCATGCCATGCACAACTCCTCCCGTGAGTTGTTTGAAAGTCCTCCGGGCAGCCCGCGCCCAGCGGATCCCTGCGACCGCTTGGCGCAGACGGCGCCCCCTTTCGGATCCCTGCGACCCCGAAGTCCGTCCGGATTTGGAGGTACCCGTTATGGTTACCCTCTGGTTATGTCAAAATAGCTATTGAAAATGACCATAGAAATAGTGGATTTTCCTATTAAAAATGGTGATTTTCAATAGCTATTTTGACATAACCAGAGGGTATCGTTTGCTGTTTGCGACCTGAAAACTGCATGGGTGTGTCCGAAAATGTTATGTACCCCTAAACCCAATGGTTTTGCTGATCATTATCCCTATTAAATGGCTATAATTGGGAATATACCCTATTTTCAGACAAACCCGCATAACAACTAGTAATGTTGAATTAGAACAGGATTCACCGATGAAAAAAAGGTGCTTCCCCAACTGTGGGATGAACATCATGTCCAATCGGGTCTAGTTTACACCTTCATTTTGTTTGTGGAAAAATGGAGTTTTTTTTATTTTTTTATTTTTATTTTGTTTGGTGTTCCACGATTTGACAAACATTTACTTAGCTTATGTTGGTTATTCCACGTATTTTTGTTTTGTTTGGTGATTCTTCACTTAGGTTGATCTAAATATTGATCCATTGTTGCTGGTGAAATCTGACTTTTCCTGTTTTTTTCTTACCAAGCTGATGAGTCCCCATGAGATTTTCATGCTCTTTCATCAACCTGAATCAGGTGGATAATTACCCGAAAATGAACAAAACCATGAGATGAATGGATGAACTATCATACTAATATATACACATGTAATTCCAAAGTCATATTACAATACTATTATATATATATATATTTATATGCATTAATTATATATATATATTTGTACTAAACCACTATTACCCAAGTCATCCTCCTTGGATCTCGTGGAGGAAGCCGCGGGCTGTGGTCCACCTGGGCTTCCAAGACCAGTCGGCTCGTCTCAACGCCGAAGTCGAGTCTGCGGCTGGTGGCACCTGGGATTTTTCGCCATTTTTTCGCCATGGCGGCTCCATGTGAATCAGGGGGATCGCCGGGATCAACAGATTTTTGCAACGCATTTTTGGTGATTTTTTGGGACATGGTGAGATATGGTGATTTTTCACATGATTTAACATGATTTAATCATAAGCAGCAAAAAACTGATTGTCTCACGGGGATATCATGGGAATGATTGGGAATTCAACCGCACCGCTGCGGTTGAGTTCACTGGCCATGGGAAGTTGGCCTACAGGTTACCCATGGTTACCCCTCTTTTTGAAGGGCAGACAAGGCAGGATATTGAATGACAATTATTGGTGACTGGTGAATGTGATGCAATTTTCGAAGACACATATTTCATTGGGGAGTGAACTCGTCGAAATTCGATGGTCATTGAATTTCATGGGCTTGCTTTGAAGTGATTGGAGGGTACCTATGATGGGCATCAGTCAAAGTATAGTCCTTGGATTCTAGTTGAATTAAACATGCCATTTTACTCCATTTAAATCAATTTTTGTCACGACCCAACTTTTTCCAAGCAATATGATAGGTCGGTGCCATAGAGGTCAACGTCTCCTGGTGCTGTCGCCGAGGAAAAGACCAAAGTGGACAATGAAAAGTTCCGGATCTGGCCCAGCCATGGTGGTCGCGCCAACACGTTCCTTGACCAAAGCTCGGTCAAGTTCGTCAGACCATGGTTGAGTTTTTGGTACTTGGGATCGACGTACTCCAGAGATGGCTGGTTGATGATAGTGGTTGTACTATCCATGGGGGATTACCACAATCCAACTACTGGGAATACCCCATCATTGGGCTACCATGCACTCTCCCAGTCACAGTATGTTTTGAATGAAGAAGATGATTCTCATACTGCTTGGTGGTTTGGAACATGAATTTTATGACTTTCCATATATTGGGAATGTCATCATCCCAACTGACTTTCACTCCATCATTTTTCAGAGGGGTTGGTTGAAACCACCAACCAGATATCAATAATCATACACCATTTCTATTGATTATGAACCATATTATTCCATATATCAACCAGATTATAACCATATTATTAACCATCATTAACCATATAATAACCATATGTCTCCAATGTCTCCAATGTCTCGTCGGATCCCCTTCCGCCCTGGCCGGAGGCCTTTGTCCTACTGGAAGGAAGATGCAGTTCCGCTCGGGCGAAACACGCCGCCCACAGGTTTTCTGGAGAGCGGCATGCGCAGCGCGTTGGCGCCTGGGCAGCATGGCTGGTACCTTGTGGCACTGATCATGATCCCCTTTTTTTTGGGAGAGTATAGTGATATATATATATATACTGATGTGATATATATATATATATAGTAACATAGTGATATATAGTACATACTCAAATTGGAGCTTACTTTCTCGTTTCAAGAGATAAAGTTGTTCTTGTCTGCTTTTTTCTCTCCTTCTTGGCGTCCCACATGCTGCATGTAATTACTTTTTAGTCCGAAAATACACAAAATTGTGGATATTGGTATACGCCAGCTGAATTTTGTTTCGCTTTCCATTCAAGCAGTCCTCGCGCAAAGATGAGATATACCAGATATACCGCAACCATTGAGTTCCTCAAAGAAGACCAATAGATTTTTTTGTTTTTTTTGGGGCTTCCCAATTTCTAAAACGTCCAGCATGATCGAGGCTGTCGGGGATCCGTTGGCTTCGGGGATTCACGAGGTGGGGCTCGCGGCTCGATGGGATTCTCAGGATCCAACGTTGGGAGTTTTGATAGGCAACATGAGGAGAATGCCATAAACCATGCCCCAGTCATCAGCATGGATAGGTGGTATGTTTACCACATTCCCAGTCATGGGTGCTTTAGTATGTACGGTTTTACCCAAATGATTTGGGGTTCCCCAGTTTCAGACAAAGCCAAGTGTGTAGGTTCCTAAACCCATGATCATCCCGAAGACCCGACAGAAGTTCCTCTGTTCATTTTTTGGTGAATCTGAAGCCTACCACAATGAAGCGACCTGCGAAGTTTGTGGATGTTGGATGATGTTGGGATCTGAGCAACAATTTTCGGGAGAGTCTGGAGAGGAGGGAAGAATCTTGATGAAACACTTTCAGCGATGCCCTCAGGATGTCACTTGATTTATAGAATCCAACTGGTTGGGTAAACTTTCGGACGCCAAGTCATGCAGAAATCGGGTTGGCTTTTCGCACCCACCCGGAAGTCTCTTATGAGGCCAACTGGGACCAACCAACCTTGGATGGATGTTGATGGTTTGTTCGCAAGATGTTTTCCTCTGATGTTTTCGTTCATATTTTTTCTTTCAAAAAATCACATCCCAACTCTTCCAACTTCGTGATTTTCTCCCCAATGATTTTCATATGGGCCTTGGACTCCAGCGATGTTCCCAGACCGGCCTTCGGAACCTGGATGGGAGCTGGGTTTCGCACGATGGTGAACTGCGGGGCCAAGTCCACGGGGAGCACGGGAGGGGACCATGTGGGAGCAGCTTCTCAAGGTATTTCACCATTGTTCTGGGGCTGTCCTCATCAGTATGGCACAGTATGGTGATACGGGGGATGGTTGCGAAATCCTGCACCAGTTGATAGATGGTAAACATCCCCTTATTATCCCTAAATAGGGTTTCAACCATCCAAGGTGGTGCAGGATTTCTTCCATCCACAGTATGGTTGATAAATCACGGCTGGTTGATGTTTCGGCCAAGATGGGCTGTCCCAAGAATAGGAATGGAGCTGCCGAAATGGCAAGCTAACCCAGAAATGGCGATCATTACCATCATGATCCCTGTAAACCTAGGTATACCTAGCTTTAAGCCCTGATAGTCTGAGTTCTGGTTCTGGATGAATTTACCTTCAAACGAGGTGGGGTGGTGCAAGAGAGTCCTCATCAATCCAGATAGGCTTGGTTCTAGGGATGCGTCGTGATCGTAGTGTCGTTATTCTCTCCCTATTATTGCTCATTATTTCATATTATTCCACTATCACTATCAATTTTACTTCTTCTATATATCTTATTCTCTCCGAAAGTTCTTGGTCATTCGCAGCATTTTCATTGCTTCCTATCCCTCCGTATTACAGCGTCACCAGCTCCAGGAGCACTTCTACTGGGCTTGTGATGGATCTGCCTCGCCTCTGCGTGTCTTTGGAGAGCCTCGGCTTCGCCCAGCGGGTCAAACCTGGTCAAATCCACTGGAAAGGATTCGTTTGGATCATGGATGCTAGATGATCACTCCCCCAAATGGAGGTTTCCATAAATGGGGGTACTGTAGCTGGAGCACACACGGGTGTATCGGGCTCACCCGTCCAACCAATCCCAAAACCAGGTGCCTGATCACATCTGATCACAAAGAGGAGGTTTAAGAAGTGGATGAATCCCACGCAGCAGCAAGTGCACACACGCACACAAAGAGGAAGACACATACACGCAGACACACACACACACAGGCACAGACGCACACGCACAAAAAGAGATAGACACGGGACGCAAAAACAGAGACGCAGACAGACACCAGGACACACACACACACACAATCACAGCGAAGTCCTCGTTGTCGTGGGCGCACAGGCACTTTTATACACAGACGCTTTTACACACAGACGCTTTTACACACAGACGCTTTTACACAAAAACGCTTTTACACACAGATGCTTTTACACACAGATGCCTTTACACACATAACCCTTTACTCACAAACGCTTTTACACGCAGATGCTTCCACACACAGAAGCTTTTACATACAGACGCTTTTACACACAGATGCTTTTACACACAGATGCCTTTACACACATAACCCTTTACTCACAAACGCTTTTACACGCAGATGCTTCCACACACACAGGAACGTTTACACAGAGACACTTTTAAACACATACACGCTTTTACACGCAGACCCGTTTACACGGAAACAATTTTACACAGAAGCTTTTACACACAGATACTTTTACACACAGAGACTTTTACACACAGAAGCTTTCACACACAGAAGCTTTTACACACAAAAGCTTTTACACACCGACGCTTTTACACACAAACATTTACACACAAATGCTTTTACACACAGACACTTTTACACACAGAGACTTTTACCTACAGAATATTCTACACACAGGAGATTTTACACACAGACGCTATTACACACAGAAGCTTTTACACACAGACACTTTTACACACAGAAGCTTTTACACACAGAGACTTTTACAAACAGACACTTTTACACACAGAAGCTTTTACACACAGCAAGCTTTCACACACAGACGCTTTTACACACAGCCACTTTTACACACAGCTGCTTTTACACACAGAGACTTTTACACACAGACGCTTTTACACACAGAGACTTTTACACACAGAGGCGTTTACACACACAAGCTTTTACACACCGACGCTTTTACACACAGTCACTTTTACACACAGACACTTTTACCCACACAGACGCTTTTGAACAAAGACGCTTTTACACAGACGCTTTTGCACACAGACGCTTTTACACACAGACGCTTTTACACACAGACACTTTTACACACAAATGCTTTTACACTTTTACACACCGACGCTTTTACACACAAAAGCTTTTACACACAGAAGCTTTTACGCACAGACGATTTTACACAAAAACACTTTTACACACAGAAGCCTTTACACACAGAGACTTTTACACACAGACACTTTTACACACACAGAAGCTTTTACACACCGACACTTTTGCACACAGACACTTTTGCACACAAAAGCGTTTACACACCGACGCTTTTACAGACAGACACTTTTACACACACAGACGCTTTTACACACAGACGCCTTTACACACACAGACGCTTTTACACACAGACGCTTTTACACGCACACAGACGCTTTTACACCAGACGCTTTTACACACAGACGCTTTCACGCACAGAAGCTTTTACACACAGACGCTTTTACACACAGACGCTTTTACACACAGAAGCTTTTACACACAGACGCTTTTACACACAGATGCTTTTACACACAGAGACTTTTACACACAGACGCTTTTACACACAGAGACTTTTACACACAGAGGCTTTTACACACAAAAGCTTTTACACACCGACGCTTTTACACACAAACACTTTTACACAGACACTTTTACACACACACAGACGCTTTTGAATAAAGACGCTTTTACACAGACGCTTTTACGCACAGACGCTTTTACACACAGACACTTTTACACACAGATGCTTTTACACACAGACGCTTTTACACGCACACAGACGCTTTTACACCAGACGCTTTTACACACAGACGCTTTGACACACAGAAGCTTTTACACACAGACGCTTTTACACACAGACGCTTTTACACCAGACGCTTTTACACACAGACACTTTTACACACAAATGCTTTTACACTTTTACACACCGACGCTTTTAGACACAAAAGCTTTTACACACAGAAGCTTTTACACACAGACGATTTTACACAAAAACACTTTTACACACAGAAGCCTTTACACACAGAGACTTTTACACACAGACACTTTTACACACACACAGAAGCTTTTACACACCGACACTTTTGCACACAGACACTTTTGCACACAAAAGCGTTTACACACCGACGCTTTTGCAGACAGACACTTTCACACACACAGACGCTTTTACACACAGACGCCTTTACACACACAGACGCTTTTACACACAGACGCTTTTACACGCACACAGACGCTTTTACACCAGACGCTTTTACACACAGACGCTTTCACGCACAGAAGCTTTTACACACAGACGCTTTTACACACAGACGCTTTTACACACAGAAGCTTTTACACACAGACGCTTTTACACACAGATGCTTTTACACACAGAGACTTTTACACACAGACGCTTTTACACACAGAGACTTTTACACACAGAGGCTTTTACACACAAAAGCTTTTACACACCGACGCTTTTACACACAAACACTTTTACACAGACACTTTTACACACACACAGACGCTTTTGAATAAAGACGCTTTTACACAGACGCTTTTACGCACAGACGCTTTTACACACAGACACTTTTACACACAGATGCTTTTACACACAGACGCTTTTATACACAGAAGCTTTTACACACAACAGCTTTTACACACAACAGCTTTTACACACACAGAAGCTTTTACACAAAGACACTTTTACACACAGACACTTTTACACACAGAAGCTTTTACACACAGACGCTTTTACACACAGACACTTTTACACACAGAAGCTTTTACACACCGACACTTTTACACAGACATTTTTACACACAAAAGCGTTTACACACCGACGCTTTTACACACAGACACTTTTACACACACACACACTGATGCTTTTACACACAGACACTTTTACACACAGAATAAAGACGCTTTTACACACAGACGCTTTGACACACAGAAGCTTTTACATACGGACGCTTTTACACACAAAGACTTTTACACACAGACACTTTCACACACAGAAACTTTTACACACAGAGACTTTTACACACAGAGACTTTTACACACAGAAGCTTTTACACACAGAAGCTTTTACACACAGACGCTTTTACACAGACACTTTTACACACAGAAGCTTTTACACACACACACACCGACGCCTTTACACCAGACGCTTTTACACACAGACTCTTTCACACACAGACGCTTTTACACACAGACGCTTTTACACACAGACGCTTTGACATACAGACACCTTTACACACCGACGCTTTTACACACAGACACTTTTACACACAGAAGCTTTTACACACAGAGACTTTTTACACGCAGAAGCGAAAGGGTTGCGCCAGACGCTTCAAAATCGCAATTTTACTTCAGTTTTCGGCGATCGAACCTCGGCGATCGAACCTCATTTCGTGCGAAAGGGTTGCGCCGGACACCTACAAATCGCAATTTTACTTCAGTTTTTGGCGATCGAACCTCATTTCGTGCGAAAGGGTTCGCCGGACAACTTGAAATCGCTCTTTACCTCAGTTTTAGGCGATCGAACTTCATTTCGTGCGAAAGGGTTGCGCCGGACACCTACAAATCGCAATTTTACTTCAAGTTTTTGCCGATCGAACCTCATTTCGTGCGAAAGGGTTGCGCCGGACACCTACAAATCGCAATTTTACTTCAGTTTTTGGCGATCGAACCTCATTTCGTGCGAAAGGGTTCGCCGGACAACTTGAAATCGCTCTTTACCTCAGTTTTAGGCGATCGAACTTCATTTCGTGCGAAAGGGTTGCGCCGGACACCTACAAATCGCAATTTTACTTCAAGTTTTTGCCGATCGAACCTCATTTCGTGCGAAAGGGTTGCGCCCGGAAGCGAGAAATCGCAATTTTACAGTTTTGGCGATCGAACCTCATTTCGTGCGAAAGGCTTCGCCGGACAACTTGAAATCGCTCTTTACCTCAGTTTTTGGCGATCGAGCGTCATTTCGTGCGAAAGGGTTGCGTTTCGTGCCGTTTCGTTGGCACTGCACCGCGCCTTCAAGAGAGAAATAGAAAAGAAAAAGAGAGCAAGAGGGCAAGAGAGAAAGAGGGCAAGAGAGCAAGAGGGCAAGATGTGAGGATGTGAAGATGTGAAGATGTGAGGAGAAGAAGATGTGAAGATGAGCAGATGTGAAGATGTGAGGATGTGAAAATGTGAAGATGAACAGATGTAAAGATGTGAGGATGTGAAGATGAGAAGATGAGCAGATGTGAAGATGAGAAGATGAGCAGATGTGAAGATGAGAAGATGTGAAGATGTGAGGATGGGAAGATGTGAGTATTTGAAGATGAGAAGATGTGAAGATGCGAGGATGTGAAGACGAGAAGATGTGAAGATGTGAAGATGAGCAGATGCGAAGATAAGAAGATGTGAAGATATGAGGATGTGAAGATGAGAAGATGTGAAGATGTTTCATGAGAAAATGTGAAGATGAGAAGATGTTTCACAGACCCCTACTATTAGAAGAACCCTGCGCTCAGACACTCTCGGGAAAATTGATGATTTAGGGGTACCCCCTTTTATGGAAACCCCCACATGTTTGACATGTTTGCTGCCCCAGTGGATATTTATAGGTCCGGGATGCTCCGGAGATATATGTGGAGGTCCACAACATTCAAGTCAACAGAAGCATCCTCAACTCCAAATTGTCCTGGCGATGATTCCCCACCAAGCTTATGAACTCCTCGATTTTGTTTTTATTGTTTGCTTCACTTGGATCTTGCCAGAATTACATACAGTAGTTTCTGGTAAGTGGTTCGCAACTGGGGTATATCATAGATCCCAATACATTCCAGTTAGTTTAGGGGCTTAAGCCTTAAACCACAAACACTAACCACATTTAACTGCAAATCGCCAGTTCCAGCAACATCTAAGTGCTGTAATTATCCAGTTGTTTTCCATTTTTTGTTGGCAACACAATTCCCCAAAATTTCTTGTTTCTTTCCTTACACCCCCGCAGTGGCCTCCCGCAGAATTCCAGAAGTATAAGTCAGTATACAAGCACAAACCAAACACCAACCTCAACCACCATTTTAGTTGGTCAAAACTTCCCCCGTGGCCTGGGGATGGTCCAACCAGGAAACATGTCAAACTAACTGTTGATTGGTGAGCCACTAAAAGTTATGACCCCATTCGCATGGTTGTTCCAACCTATTGTAGGCACATGACAGCCACAAGGAGGGAAACAATTGGTGTTCTTACCTCTATAGTCGGGAACAACATATTTTTCTTGGTACATCAGATTTTCTTGAGCTCCTCCCCCTTAGTCGCCTCCCTAGCCTTGAAGGAACACCAGGAGTCGTTGTGTCTCTGGTTGGACGGCGTGCGGCACTTCGCCATCCTGGGGCCCGACGGGCGACGCTTGAGCTGGGCCGATGGCGACGTCTGGCTGCGCCGGGAGCGGCACGACCCCGAGCTGGAGGAGGCCCCCGGGGAGATATCCCGGAGGGATTGGGGGGCTCAAAAGTAGCACTAGAGAAAAATTAGGAAACCATGTGGAAAACTGATGATTCGTATTTTACCGGCAACAAATGGAACAACAATTTGAGACTCGATCTAAAAAATGAAAACAACAACATGGACACGGAATTTACCATGCTTTACCACAGAAATTGCAGTAGGAGAAACATGGAGAACTGTGGAGCTTCAAGCACCAACCAAAACTGGATTGTGCCAACAAACACGCCAGCAAAAATGGAAGATCATGGCGAAAACTTCGAACTTCACCAACGAAACTCATTGGAAGCTATGGACAACGTGGATTTTCACCAGCCAAAACAATTTGGGGAAAACTATACGTGGTGATCGATCTAAAGGTCCTCGTAAGGAGTTTTAATTGCGAAAGCCGTGCATGTTATGTTGGAAACCCTCGCGAAAGTTTTTTTTCGAGTTCGCGAAAGTAAAATTTTATTTCGCGAAAGTTTCGCGAAAGTTGGGTATTATAATCATTATATGTAAAGGGCTGCCACCCACTGCCGCCCGGGGTCCGGCAGGAGAAGGGCACCAGAGAATGCGAGTAGCAGTAGCCAAGTTTCCAAAAGTGAGGCTTTGCGAGAGCCAAACACCAAGGCCCCTGGTCTTCGCTTTTCCTTCAGTGCACCCCCTGCTGATGGCCGGGGTCTGTGAATAGGGATATTTTCGCGAAAGTTCCGCGAAAGTTATGCGAAAGAGCGGGCGAAAGTCAAAGTGCATGTTGAAGAGGGTCGGCCAGTAAACTTTGCAAAAAAAAATTGTCCTGAGAAGGGATTCCGTGATGCTAGCTGCATGTTTAAAAGGCTACCAAGAAGTGATCCGTGATTCTCTGGCGTAATTTGGCAGGTGGTGAACGAATCTTCATAAGAGGTGTTGTTGGCCAACATGGGCCCCGCGAAAGATAAACATGGAGTTCGCGAAAGTTTCGCGAAAGTAAAATTTTTATTCGCGAAGAATGGCCGTTCCGGGATAAAGGAATTTTGATCAACAACCACGTATAATAGATGGATTTATTCAGGCACATTGCAATTTGACCCCTACAACTGGGGACTTTGCTTCAGAGAAAACGGGACGAACGGCAGTGAAACTGTTGGGATTTGAGGCCGTGAAGGCGCAATGTCGCAGGACGTCCGGACACACAGATGGGCGGACACCGGGGTGCCAGGTGTTTTCATGGTCGCCCGAGTATTTTGGAGTCCACAGTGCCATAGTCACTATCCCCAAATTGTGATTTATTGGGTTTTGGGATGATTTTTGGATGATTTGGATACCCAACATGGTATCAATATGGTATATTGATTTTTGAGTATGTCCCTATTCATCCAAGAGAGATTCTTTGGGATGATTGAGAAAGCAGGATTTTTTGGGATGATGGAGTACCATGAGTACCGCATTTCCACTGGTTGATCAGTTGATCATTTTCCCTAGTCGGCCATGGATCAGGGTTCTCACTACCCCATTTCCACACCATTTTCCAGAGTGTTGGCAACATTCCCCGTGACATTTTTTAAAATTCATATCATATTCGGAATATTCTATTACCCTCTGGTAAACTAGCATAGCTATGGAAAATCACCATTTTTAATGGGAACATCAACTATAAATGGCCATTTTCGGTAAATATCCCACCAATATCCCCCCCTGTTCTCTGTTGATGCTTGAGCCACCCATGAAATGGTGCAATGGCGGGCGACACCGAGGCCTGCCCAGAAGAGTCTTTGTGGGGCGACACGGTAGGAGGGAACGGTGAGCTGAGCCAGCTGGAAAATGGTGATTTAATGGTGATTTTAATGGTGATTTAAGTATTTAAGGGTGATTTAATGATGGTTTAATGGTGATTTTAATGGTGATTTAATGGTGGCTTAATGGTGATTCATATGACGGTGGTGCAATAGGATATAAGTGACATGATATAGTTCACTATAGTATCTGAGTGGTTACCCTCCAGTAATCAACATAGCCAGCTGGGAAAGTCAACAAACTATTGCTGGCTGATTTTCCAGCCATGTTAGCGGAGAGTATCCATATTCCTTGGGGAGCCAAGGAGTTGCGAACCACTTTGGCACATGTCCGCCATGTCACCACTCTTAGCAGAGCGTATTGGCACCTTCATTGAGCAGTATTTGCTGCGCCGAACTTACCCAAATCTGGCAGAAGTGAAACTTCGAGTTCAGACCAAACTCTTATGCTTCACGATGTCCTTTGAGATGGAAACCTTTTCGATCTATTTCTGTGTCGTCTCCAGCATGTTACGTTTTTAGCATTTTTTTAAGCATCCTTAGCTAATGGATTGATTCAGTCTTTTGTTCCTTCTGGGGGACTGGATGAAACCATGTGTGGCATGATCAAAATGAAGCTTGTCTTCAGATTAGAAGACGGTCCTCACTGATACTGCTCCCGGAATCTTGTTTTTCATCTTTAGATACTCCATACGATTCATGTGTACGTACAAAAGTGTTTTTTTGTCTTGTAGCACAGATCAGCATTCAGCACCATTGTCCCTCAAACAAGGCCAACATGGATAACCCCCCCCTACGTCACAATGTCACTGGAATGATTGTTCTTTGGGGTAACTATCCCAGCATGGCCGAACTTTTCAGATTAGTGAATTACTACAATTTGCCGGTAACTATACCAGCCATAGTATGTAGACGGTACATGTACTACAGGTACCGTGACGCGGCACGAGTCGACCAGGTTGGAAGAAGTGGCAACTTCGTTGGCGCCACTGCGATGGGAACAAAGCCTCTTTGAGGTGCTGGACAATGGAATTTTCGTGGGAACATCATGGGAGATATAGATTTTTTATGTGTGTCTGAAAATGGAGAATTTTTACCGAACACATCAGGTATCGTATAATTCTTTTTTTGGCACATGATGATCAAGATTGATCAAGCGTCCAATTAAAGGGTGTTTTCCTCCCCTAGATTTCCAGAACTCGCATGTTTAAGAACCTTGGATTGTGATCTGAACATGGGGAATTTACACCCCAAATGGGATGGTTCCCTGGTGGATATCGCAGGCCGGGTCGCAGGAATTTTGACATTGTGGATGTATATGGATTAATTATCACTGATTTTTATGGATCAGGAATCAGGAAAATCTCGAATTCCAAGTTTCATTGGGGTTCGTCCGAAAATAGGCGACATTGGGGTAGACCCAGCTGGAGCAATCCATTTGGCTTCCAGGACTGTGGAATGCTGCTCTGGATCAAATACATGGCAGCAGATGACATGGACACGGCCATGGGGACATGAAACAGCAAGCTGCGGCTATCGCAGAAAAAAAACACCAAGCACGTGCACGAAATCACCGAAAAACTTGGTGAAAACCCACCTTAAACAGTGGGGATCAAAGCACGAGAATGGGTAGAGGATGGGTCGATACCAGGGTGAAAACCAGGATGGCTATTCTGAATATGAAAATCAGGAAGCCAGGGTGAGCTGACCCGTATCCACATCCTCTCCTTGCTCACAATCTGGGATAAGTGGCACCATGTGACACCCTCCGCGACATGTGACATCGCTAGCAACATGGAATCCCCCAAAAACATGGATCCAACAGGAAGATCATGGCATCAATTTAGTTGTGCCGGCTCAGATGGCAGATGGCCTCAAAAGGCATTGTCGTGTGGGTCAAGGCTGACCAATTCAAATGGGGCAAGAAATTTCTTGGTAGTTTGGAACATTTGTTGTTTCCTGTTTGGGATGATGATCCCCATATATCCCCATAACTGATTTTGAGGGGATGGCTCCACCACCAATCAGATGCTCATGGCAGATCCAAGGAAAACTCCTCTTGTATTCGGTGTGGTCGAAACATTTTGACACTTCCCTGTCACTTGAAAAATGGTCTCAGCATGTTTCAGCATCATTGAACACATATTCATACTCTTTCTCTCTCTATCTCTCACATAAGATCTGGAAAAGATATAACGACCTCACTGCGACCTCCATGGAATGACGCTTAATTAGTAGGGGTATAATTGTCCCACAATAGCCTTGTTTCAGATGAGTGAATTACTATACGTACATTTATCCAGGATATTTAATGATTACCCTCTGGTAAACTAACATAGCTATGGAAAATCACCATTTTTAATGGGAAAATCCACTATAAATGGTCATTTTCAATAGCTATGTTAGTTTACCAGAGGGTACATCCATGGAAAAGATGTGTGTCTTTCATGGTGTGTCTTTCATCCGCCAGTCCGTGCAGCCGGACGTGCTCAAGTTGCCCTGGTCATTCGCGAGACCAAGCTGCAGTGATTTGGGAAAATGGTCTGGGTCATCGCAACCTAAAAGATAGAAAAGTCATATTCCGCCAAAAACTAGGGGCAAATACTTGTTCTTATGCATGTTGAACATCTGATGATTCTTTTTGGGCTTACTGTACTGATAATTTCCGCGGGAGCGTTGCCCGGCACAAATTGGGACTTTTTGGGAAACTGGGAGGTGCGTTTCCTAATCCAAGTGGCTGCTTAGGTAACGGAAACGGCGGGATCGAAACGGCAGTGCAGACTCCTTCCACCTCCTGAAGGGAGCGGCTTGGCACGTATTTTTGGGGTAAACTTGAGCAACCAGAAGGCTAAAATTCAGCCGGAAAACTGCAGTTTTTGGATGCCCCCCCAGTTGGAGAACGCTGCGGCGTGCTCCTTTTTGTGCAGTTTCCTTTCTCAACTTGGGTCCTGCTTGATGACTTTGCCAATAAATTTTTTGAAATGTTACTACTCATGCACTCTAAACTCTATAGATTATAGATGGTTTTTCCCTGCTTGTTTTCTCTCCTTTTACTCCTGATCGCGTGTTTTGAAGTTCTCCTGAAACATACATACTGCACCTTTTTCAGTGGTCAAAGCCCCCCATGATTGCCAAAAACAATGTGGCGAAAGCAGCGTGTGTTGGATTGATTTGCAGTGCTCACAGTGATTTGGACAGCCAAACTTCTCCAGGCCCATCATGGAAATGGACCAGAAAGCCCCTTGGCTCAGAATCGTTCGGTTCAACATGGTTCAACGCTTGCCTTTGGAGGGTGGCTTCGAGATGCTTCGAGGTTATTATGGTTGAACAAACTTGTGTTTGCAACATGTGGTTTGTGGATGTGACTTCAGTTGACCGTGCAAAGTTTTTTGATTATTGGATATTGATGTTGTTGTTGGCCAATTTCCAGCCTCAGTTGTTTTCCATTGAGTTTGTCGCCCCAGAATCTTCCTTTTTTTGATTTAGGATATATCCACGCTTTTGCTGGCCATATTCCCCCTCAAACCCTAACCTGGAAACCACCATAAAAAGGTGCTATAGCAACCCCCAAAAATATTTTGAAAGTAAAATCCTACTTCCAAACACGTTGATATATAATATAGCAAATTATTACTTTTCTATCTTTTCGGGGGTTGCTATCAACATGTTCCGACCCCAAAAAACCTAACACATCCGGCCGGTGGGGGCATGGGGGCATCGCTGGAAGCCGAGGTTGTGGTCCTGCCTGAAACCATCCGCGGACAGCTGGGCGGCCATTATCCAGGGCAACCTGGCACAGGCTCGAAAGGGCGAGAAGTGAAAATGGTGATGTTTCAGCAACAAACATGGATAAAAGTGGTGGTTTAAGCAGATTTTTGAGCAACCAAAATGGGGACTGGTGATTTTTGAGCACCCAAAATGAGGACTTATCAGCAATATTTAGCAATTGTCAGCCAAAATGGCGGTTTGAGCGACAACAATGGTGATCCAACCAGCACGAATTCCACGATTTTCGACAGAAAATTGAGATTTCCTGCTGAGTACATCAAGAATCAAGAACCTGGTGATCTAAATTGATTTAACCATTCGTTAATTTTGCTAATCCTGGTTGAGATCCTAAAATCCTGGGTTGGCTTAGTCGGTGATTTTTCACTTTTCCAAGGGGAAATCAACCGATTGGGAATCTGTAGAGCATTTTTATTGCAGGCGGCTGCCCTCGAGCACATCCAAGAAAAACTTTGTCCAAGAAGGGGGTAGGTATTGGTTTACACAGGTGCAAATCATATTTCAATCATATTCATATTCTTATTAAACTCTATATTAAACATGCAAATTTGAGGTTACCCCAGTCTTGGACGAACTCAAATGGGACACATATTTGGGACGCGGTTTTCCGGGTCGACGTTTCCCCACCATCCACCAGGTGTTTTCGCACTTGTGGAAGCATCAGGTCGGGCTGGGCCCCGGGGCCCCGGGGACGGCCGTAGGTCGATGGTTAACCGAGGTTTGCTGAGGTATGGGGTACCCCTTTATCACTGGATGGTTTATGATGAACCCTGTTAAATTGGATGATTTAGGGGTAGCACCATTTCAGGAAACCCCCATTTGAGCCATTGAAAAGAGATGAAGAGAGAATTGTCAATTGGTCATTTAGTGGGCCATGATACCAATTTGGGAGGGGAGGTGCATTACCTACTTGAACCATTCATTGGTTAAGATACCTAGATACCATTAGATACCTATGTACTCAATTGGTTTGTATGGAGGGTTAATTTATTAGGGATTATGATAACCCAGAATCAGCAGAATACCTCTTAACCAACCTGTATGTCTTTTTCATTGCTGATTTACTATAATGATCTTCCGTAGTTATGTTAGATTATATACCACAGGCGATCCAGGTTGATTTTGGTAGAATCACAAGAGTCAATAGAAGCAAATCTTCAAACTCCCTGTCGCTTAGCAAATACCATTGGCAAATAGAAAAGAAACCAACGTGCATGCACCCATGGCGGTCGAAAATCCCATGGAAAATCGGCAGGTACATCATAAGCCCCAAACTCATCCAGTCGTGGAGGGCTCTGTCATGGCCCCTCCATTGTCATCATGGCTGGAGAATTCCCGCATTGAAATGGATGATTCTCCCAGCTTCATCTGGGGCTGTTAGTTCTGGGGTAAATCCCCAGGGTAGAAATAACCTGGTCCAATTCAATGAAAATGGCTATAGGGCAGGTGAAGAAAGTCCAAGCTTTGTTTTCTTCGGTGATAGCAGTGTTATGCAACACAAAGTAGTGGCGAGGAAAGTGCAGTCTATACACAGGATTTTCAGTTGACTACTTGAGTATCTCACAAGAGTAGAGATGAATAGAGGTTGAATTACTGCCTGAAGCAGCCAGTGAAGTGGAAATATGGAGAAACATGACCGCAGGTGTTCCCCTCGGAAACAGGTTTAAACCACATGCATGCTTAGTCTAGCTAAAGCAACAAAAACATGAAGAAAAAACATCTAAAAAGTGAAACAAAGTGATTTCCCAAAGAATACCCTCTGGTAAACTAACATAACTATGGAAAATCACCATTTTCAATGGGTAAATCCACTATAAATGTCCATTTTCAATAGCTATGTTAGCCATTACCAGAGGGTAAGGTGTTTCAGCCTCGGAGAGGCCCTGTTTTTTCAGCTCGGCGATGCGGAGGAGCCAGAGCACCTTTGTGTCACCCGGTGAAACTCCGCTGGTTTGGCGTGCCATGCGATCCGTTGGTACACCATGTTATGTAGACATGATAGAGCTATGCCTAGAGAGGTTTGTGTATATATATACATATAATATATATATAATATACATATATATAATATATATATATGTACACATATATATATATTTACTGTATATAGTATGATCTTCACCAGTATGGAATGTTATATCTAGAATGATATATATAGTTCTGACATGGGGGTTTCCGAACATCGGGCTACCCGGGCTACCCCGAATTCTCCAGCGAGGTATTGGTATCCCCATGACGAACCCCCCAGGTGCACTTCTCCGAACTCCTGGACCCTTCTGATGTGGCCGAAACCAAGTTGGTGGCGCCCCCAAGGGCATCCGACGCAACGCTGGGTTTGCAGGGTGATTTTACCATGGAAAATGCTGGTTTAATATAGTTTAATGGTGGTTTAATGGTGGAAAATGGTGGTTTAATGGAAGTTTAATGGGAGTTTGCCAAAATCCTGAAACAGAAGTCCAACAGAAATCCAACAGAAACTCTGAAAGCAACTTAAAACTTCAAGGATTTGAGACGCAGAAAAAAAGATCGCGTCAGCACACATCCCCCGGGGATTTCACTCAGCAGGAGATGGCTGGGGAATTGTCGTCAGATTGGGTTTTTTTTAGCACCAGTGTTCGTAAAGCAAGAATAAATCACACATATTTTGATGGTTTATAGAATAAATCACACATATTTTGATGATTTATACTAGTGCATACCACCGATTTATAGTAAAATTGGGGGATGGTTTACTATTTCTATACACACACTCATTTTGCCGGAGATTGGCTTTGGACAGCCGCGCCCAAGCCATCTTTTGGTATTCGAAAAGAAACGGAGCTTTTTGGATCGAGATGCATGATGAAGAACCTCAAGCAGGGAAAAAAAACCCTCTGGTAATCTTAGTAGTAGGGAATGGATGGGAATGGGGGTTGCTGGGATTACTATTGATAGTTATTGTGGATCATTCCCGAAAATTCCCTACTAAGCACAAGTAATGAAACTCTAAGCAATCCACCATACGAACAGACTTCAAGGGTTAACCATCTATGGATCGACATAGAAAAGGACGACTCAAAGGCTAGCTTCGCCTGAGGGGAAGTAGCCTGTCGAGGGTCGGTAAAGGTTTCAACATGTTTTTTTTTGGAGAAACCTTGGGTAACTAGTTTACTTCTTCAATCTTCTTCTTTATTTGCTATAAATGGGCATATACACCCCCCTGAAATAGAAAGCCAACCATCCCAAATAATTGCATACAATTGCATTATACATAATGTGTGTATAAATATATATATATACATACACATACGCATACACAGTGCAGACACATATGTAGAATGCAAGAATAGCCATGAACCCCTGCCCTGTCATGGAGAGCCTGCAAGTGGGTCAGCTGGTACGGCTGGTGAACTTACAGCGGGTACGCCATTGAGCGCCCGCCGGGGGGTGGCACGGTGATGCATGGTGGAGGTTTGTGGGTCAGTGATTGTCAACGTGATATCCCCAAAGACAAGGTTTTCATAGGATTTTAACATCATTAAATCATGTTGAATCGGGTTTAGTGGGGACTAATCCCAAGTATACATTGAGAGGAGATGAGAGAAGTATTTTGGGGATTTCAGATGATTTCAGCAAAAAAAGGGGGACTGCTGTGAATGGGCCATGGGAGTTGATCCTCAATTTGTTACAGTTTATAAATGGAAAGAAAGAGGTTTTTGCCCATGGGATTTTTTGGTACCCTATTTAACTTTTGCCAAAACCATTTGGTGGAAGATGCGACGTAGAGGAATTCCACTTGGATTTTTGTTTCGGTTGGGAGGGGTTGATATTCTCTATTCCGAGAGAGTCACCGAGATCTGATGAGACAAACTTGGGACCACCCTTTCCGAAAGCTATTGCCCAAGAAAAGAGAGAAGACGAACTTATAGAATATATTGAAATGATCCAGGGGTTCTTACCGTGGTTGCATCCATAGGTTTGGTCGATTGAACGGGGAAAAAACCGGTGGTTCGCAGGCTGAGTTGAACCATCACCTGGGCCGCATCGAAGAGTTGACGAAGTCGAATGGCCGAGCGGGGGTACGACTGCACAATACCATCTGGAAAGATCAGGCAGGGCGTCCAAGCGCATTGGATTCATTTGGATTCAATGAATATTTGGGTTTGTCTGAAAATAGGGTATATTCCCAATTATAGCCATTTAATAGGGATAATGATCATTAACCATTGGGTTTAGGGGTACACTATTTTCAGACAATGAATATTTCCCCAGCCCTCGGGTCGTAGGATTTTATCACATGACCCTTAAATGGGATGGGCGCGAAGTTGGCCGGAACACGGGTTGAACATCGATTCATTAAGAGTTCAGACAGGTCAGAAATGAAATTGATGGAGAAATGCCTCTCATTCAGACATATCATTCTATGTCTCATGTAGGGACTTTTTTGGTCCAACTGTTGATGAAACGCTTCAGTTCATTTCCGGTTAGGACGTGCCAATCTTTCTGGATGTGGTTTTAGGTTTGGGGGAATCATCTCCAAATGGCTAACCTTTTCAGGTCGGTAAGTTATTAATCATATTAAAATATTCATGTATTTCAAGTATTCTAATAATCTGGACAGCCATGGATTTCCAAAACTAGTTTAGTCTATTGGAGAGCAATTGCCTAAAAATGGCTGCTTGTTTTTTTTGATTGTGTTTTGTTTAAAATCGAATATGTTCTTTTCCGAGTCCCCACGAATCGCTGAAACATCCGGCGCCACACAAAAAGCACGCCTTTTGACACATGGAATCACTCTGAAGAACTGCAGTGGAAAAGCAGCATCTTGAGAGGTAAATCGAAGCACATGAAAAAATATCGACATGTTTGTGAAAAATTACCGGATGAGATTAAAATTCCCCGAATTTTCAATCATGGAAATGGGACCTAAATGGAATGATGATCCCCTATGACGAGCTCATATTTTTCAGGTGCCTCAACCACCAATCAGCTTTAGATTCTTTGGGTCACCAACATATTCCCATCAGAAGCATATTCCCTTTAATAACCATGAATTCACCATTTTGATGGGTGGTCAAACAAGAACTACTTGAGACCTCTTTCTTCCATTCTGCCAAGCCTCCAGGAGTCCAAAGAGGAGTCACTTGGTTGCCACGTCGGAGAATTTGGGCGGACCACCTCAGCCCTCTGTCGGAAACCTGGCTGGTTTCAAAGCAGCAGTGGTTCTTCATTCCCAATTTAAGGTGATTCGGCTTATTTTTCCAATATGGGGGAAATATGGGGAATCTAATATTGTTTAGTTTTATGGAGCCCTGAAGCAAATCCAAGTAATCATGATCTCCAAATATTTCCTGGGGTGAAAGTTGAAAGATTATATAAACACAAATAAAAACCCCCAAGCATTTAAGTATATTTGAGTTGTTCTTCCATTTTCTTCTGGATCACCAATCTGGCTCCATCTCATCCAAGTGGCAAGGGACACCCCATTTTATGGCCACATCTTGGGCTTGACCCTGGATGGGAAGTGATTTTTTTATCGAGATAAGCAGCTTCCAACACAAGAAAAAGACATGGTATAATCATGGTATAATCATGGTATAATCATGGTATAATCATGGTATAATCATGGTATAATCATGGTATAATCATGGTATAATCATGGTATAATCCCTCTCCCCAAGATGAAAAACAACCCCGTCCAGAAACCAGTCGCTTTAGTGGGGAGTTAGTGGGGGATTTCGTGTGTTTCCTGAGGGCCATTCCCAGTCGCTCCGCAAGCTCCGGAAGAGCCTTGAGGTCTCCAATGTTAGCAGTGAAACCCGAGAATCTGAGACGGGTCTCGCTCCTTGCTATGGGCAAGCCGTTGGTCATCTTACCTGGTGGTTTTTAAAAAAGTTCAATAGGAGAAGATAGGCACAGGATGGTAAAGGCCAAAGAATCTAAAAGTGGCAAGTGAACATCCTCTATTCATGGTGTTTTAATTTGAAAATTGGATGATTTTCCTTTGCCATGTTTGATTACCACAGATTAGTGGGCACTTGGAGGTTGGTACAGTTGGATAGGTTGGTACCTGGCACCATAGATGTGCCCATTAAGGATACCATTGATAGAAGCTGTTTTGGACTGACCAGCCTTCAACGTACCATTTGAGGCTTCCCACCGATGCTCCCCTACCTGTGTTGGACAGCATCGGCCGAAGAAGCATCAGCAGGTCCATGGAGGGGGCAATCTGTCTGAGACAAGTGCCACACTGGGGTTTGGCCAGATGGAGATTTCTCGCAAGTGAATATGCTTTGGTGAATAGTGGGTTTCAATAAGCTTTGCGACGTTTTTTTCCCTTTAATTTGGGAAATGCATTTCAAACGAACGTGTGTTGTTTGCTGGGTATCAAAGAGTTGCCATGAACGTGCGAATCTACCAGCATATACCAGCATAATCCCAAAGGGTCCACTGTGAAAAGACTCCAGGCTTCATACAGACTGAACCCAAGATGCAGACAAGTATCAACCTGAGCGTTGTGCCATAAATCATGAATAAAGATTCTTAAAGTACCTTGCTCTGCTGGGATCTAACCATTGTGCACAGTGCAGAGAGGGGTCTCTCAACAACGCCGCAACTCCTTGAGCACATGATCAAAGAAAGGAACAGCCCCGGACAGCCCCTCTCCTTGGTCAGCCACGGTTTTGCAGGGTATCTGTAATGGCAATACCTAAATCCAGCGTTCATTGGTTAAATAGATATTAATATATTTTAATAATATTCAATATATGTAATATATGTAATATATTATATTTTATATATTTCATATTATATATTATACATCATATATTCTATATTATATATAATATATTTTATATGATGTATGATATATTAATTATTATATAATAGATATATATTATATTACTAATATATTATATTACATATTATATATAGACATATTATATATTGTATGTAGATATATTATATATCATATATAGATATACTATATATATTATATGTATATTATATATTTATATAGATATATTATATATTATATAATCAGATATTATATATATTATATAATTAGATATAGTATATATATATTATTGTATATATATATTATTAGATATATATTATTATATATATAATATATTATATTACATGTGATAAGAGATACTATATATTATATATAAGATATTATTTACTGTATATATTAGATATAGAGATGATATGGCATTTCTCATGATTTAAGCCATTGCCATTCACAGCTCCAGGCTCTTAGGAGACACTGGCTGGGGGTTGCCTGACAATGTGGTGGCAGGCATCGAAGCTTGGCTTCAAACGCCCATCCAAAACATGGAAAAGATTGCTATGCACCATATATACATATATATATAACTACATAGAACTATCTATGTATTTACGTTGGTATATATATATATATGGCATCTATATGATCTACCTATATATCTATCCGATCTATATTATATGCTATCCAGCCCTGTCCATATCCCTATCCAGTCCCTACCCCTATCGTATCTATACCTATCTAACTACATGGGTTGTCCCGAATCCCAATGACCCATGAATGGGAAAACATGCTTTTTGCCTCTGCTTCCGCTGCTTCCGGTCACCGGAATGATGGTCAAATCATCCCAAAGGCCTTCTTTCATGTTGGTGAAATTACTATCTATCAGCCAGAACACTAATTATGCTACATTATATGAAGCAACCCCCAAAAGTACAGAGAAAACCACATAATTACATAATTACTGCTAAAACAATGGTAGATTACTTTGCTATCTTTTTGTTTTGGTTGCTATAACTACAACATATGAACTCTGATCCCTCCTAACCAACCATTGTTTGCTCCCTCACTGGAAGTATCCCTAAGATATGCTGAGGAACCGTCATTTTCAAGCCTAAAATGGGATGATGATGACGATGACGATGACGATGATGATGATGATGATGATGCTGATGATGATCCGAGTTGACTTTCAAAGAATTGTTCTCTTGGATGAACGCAGCAACCAGATCACAGATGGGTTCGTCCAAGTCACAAGGCAGTTACACTTAAATTAGCGCCATGGTCACCACTTGGATTAGATTGTCCATGTTTGTCCCATGGTGTTATCACAGGGATTAATCAATCATGTCGTTACGGGTTACTCCCTGCACAAAGATGGGAAATTGGAAAAATCTCATGGGGGTGTCACGCTTTGAGCCATGAACATACCCCTGTTGAAGCATCATTGAATACATGGGTATTAGGGGGAGTATCAATGGTTCCTAAGCACTACCCCCTATGATCATTTTTGTTACATATACTGTATATTAGTATTATTATTACTATTAAATTATATTATTATTATTATACTATTATTACCCCCTATGGGTAGTTTTTTTTAGAACACTCGCCCGAGATCTCCGAGGCGAGTTGGTTGCAGATCTGCAGAGTTCACTTGAGCGACGTGACAGTGACTGGCTGCTCATCTTCAAGGTGCCGTCATGCCATCAGCCTATTATTATATAGCACATGGGTGAATTAACATCCATTTACCAGTTATTTTTATGTACCTAGAGTATTAGGGTTTTGACCTGTACACAGATACCCTCCAGTAAACAGACCAAAAGCTATGGAAAATTGTCTGTTTAGTTCAATGATTTATATGTAAAAAGAATGATTTTCAATAGATATGTTAGTTTACCAGAGTGTACTTTATATTTATACATAGAAATCTGCCAAAAGGATAGAACAGCAATGTATTACTATTCCAGTGGGATTCTGAGAGTGTGTCTGATGGCTTTTTCATGGGAGAATGAAGATAAACTACGATATTTTGGGGTACCCTACTTTAATACAGACCCATCTGTATATGTCGAATGTATTGAACATAGATTATAGTAACCCCAAAAAAGATAGAACAGTAATCTATCATAATCTGTCACATTTTTAGTGCGATTTTACTTTTCTATCTTCTTGGGGCTGCTATAATATGCAATAATAATATATACGTATATATATATATATGTATGTACATATATAGGTATAGTGAATCATAGTGAAACTATGTGTGTGTATATATATACAGTGAATCTAACCATTGTAATGGGGTACAAAACCAAGATGCTATGGGGTTACCCTGTGGTAATCAAACATGGCACGTGAAAATTAATTATGTACATGGTGTGTTAATGGAATCATTTGTAAATGAAGGATTTTCCAGCAAGTCATGTTTGAGTACCGGAGGGTACCTGTGTGACACATCGGCAGCACGCTGATGGCATGTTTTCGCAGGTCCGCCGGAAAGTTTCCGCAACATGGGATTAGATCGCCACTTCTGGCTCGTAAGATTCCATTTATTGATGATGAACATCACATCAATGTTGAACAAACAAAATCTTTGCTGTCCAATAATATCAACTGTCCTTGAACCATTCACCCACTAGCCTGCAGAAGGTAGGAAGGGTCTGCATCCTCTTGAACCCAATGCGCAGCCAGGGGTGATTTTCCCATCTCCGCCGTTTCTCGGCGGATGGACTCCGGTCGGGGATTTCTCCACCATGGCTTTGGATAGCAAAGAACTGGGAAAGTGACGGAAAGTGAGGGTTGTGAAGCACTGGAGTTTGGGGTTTCCAACAAATCCATGGAAGTCGTGCCATGGTTCTTGGCTTTCATGCCAAAGGTGCACAGAAATGGCTTGTTAAGCCATGGAATCTG